TATATATATATATATTGATTGTATAAATTAAATTAAATTTTAATAATGCACGTGCAACGAATTCATAAAGTTGTAATTATAAAATAAATATATATTTTATATTTATAAAAAAATTGTTAACATCAAAAATTTCTTCAAATAACTAATTTTCTAGAAATTTGAAAATTATTAGATATAAATGCTAAAATTTCGTCAATATACATACATAAGAACAATATGGAGTAGAGTAGTCAATCATAGACATCAAATGTCAATAAAAGATTTTCAGAAAATTAATATTTTTACGTATTATTAATAAAGATTTCATATAACTTACATTTTCATAGAAGTATGTAGTACTTTAAGTTTAAAAATACGATGATTTTCCTTAAATAAAACACGTATAATTATCCAGACTCAACGAAAAGTACGTTCTACTACCGTTCTACTCGTTACACGATTCAAAGAGGATCTGTGAAACAAATATCATGGCGTCGAATTGTAGAAGAAAATAGTTCCATTTTACTTGCAGTTTCACCATTTCATATATATTAGTATTTTTATCATATAAATATACTTTTATCGTGTAAAAAATATTTTATTTATTTATTTTTTAACTATTAGATTCTAAAAATGAAGTATAAATATTTTATAAAATTTAATTGCATATGTATAGTACCGGAAATGATAGTATCGAGTAGGGAGAAAATACACTAATAAAAATACTGTATTAATACACTAAATAAAATACTGTATTAATAAATGAATTATCAAGTTACTACTTATTAATACGTTTCATTCTCATAATTTATAACTTGTAGGTAAGGATATTTTAACTGATTTTGTTAGAGAGAATAATTTTATTAATATAATTTGTTTAATATACACATACTTGTAACAAAATATAACGTAATATAAAAATGTAACGAAATACATTTAATTACAATTCTTTAATACAAATTTTTAATAGTATTTAAGTATACTATGTAATCACAGAGTAAAATAAACGTAAATAAAAATAAACTTAATTTATTTTATACATCAAGAACGATCATAATAAACGTATATATTTGCGAAAAACATTAAGTTATACGTAATTATATCTAATATCATAAAAATATAACACAACATATTATGCTATTTCGTCCAAATATTTTTTTATGAAGCTTTTTAATTAAAATATTTCTTATTTTAACAAATTATATCAAAAACACAATACATTTGTCAATTTTTATTATTTTTAAAACATTTCATATTGTGAAATCTAGTTTTTAACTTTTAAAATAATACATACATATTTAACAGATTTTATTTTTATCATTACTATCTTTTTTTATTTTTTTTTTTTTATCATGTATATAAAATACACGACATCTTTTTTGGTTCTGTTTCGTATTTTGTGTATTTTTTATTTTATATTACCTTAAGATTAACACAAATTTAACTAAGTATGTTGTTATTAACATAGTTTTAATAGTAAAATTTTCTTTTTCAATATAGTAAATGTATATTTAATATGTTGTTCCTCTATACTGATAAGTACTTCCATAATTATCTCCACCTCCATAACTTTGTGCTAAATTGCTTTGACCATAAGTTCTCTGTGTATATCCATACCCTGTATTCTGATTAGTTGAATTACTTTGCTTCATATTGCTATAGCTATTGTAGTCTGAATTTGAGTAACTATTTGAAGTAGATTGGTAAGAATTTCCACCACGACCATTTACGCCACCTCTTCCTCTTATAGAACCACCTCTTCCTCTAGTATCAATACCTCGTCTACCATTATTTCTATCATTGCTCATAAACCGTTTGCCACCTTTTACAAAAAGAAAAATGAATGAATTACGAAAAATTGTTCTGTTTTAAATAATATTTAAATGTTATACAGAAAATTATAAACATACTTTTGCTTCCATAACTTCCTGATTTAGCTAATTCTGCCATTTCAGTAAGTCGTGGATTTATATTTTGTCCTGCTTCTCTTAATACTTCTATTAAATCTTCTGCATGTTTCATGTTATGACTTGTAAAGAATGCATAAGCAGTGCCAGTTTGTCTTCTTCTTCCAGTACGACCAATTCTATGTATGTAATCTTCTGATGATGATGGATAATCAAAGTTTATTACATATTTAACATCATCCACATCTGTGAAAAGAATATATAAAAAACATAAAAATTCTCCTAATATTAATAATTATATATATATTGTTTATAATAATCATCACCCCATTTGTTGTGTGTCAAGTTCACAGAATGATCTTCAAACTTGCAAAAATAATTACATAGAATGCTTAAGATTAAATATATAATGTTGTTTCGAATATATTAAGTTAACATGTATCAAAATTTTTTAATGTTTTTATTTTTAAACTTTTATTGAAATGAAACAATATAATCCCCTAATCTTCACTTAAATATTGTCTGTAAGTCAGGTTTGAAAACCACCCACCTTTTGGTTGGAAATTCCATTTCAAAATCAGCAAAAACAGCCCCATTTACTTTTAAATGTAGAGCTATTCAGTTGGTTTCATAATGTATGATGGCCTAGAGATTAGACAGACACAGCGGTGGTGTCTGGTTTTGGGATAAAGGCAGCATTTTAGGGTTTAAGCCTGAATGCATTAACCTTTTTATTTAAATTCTAAATAACAATTAGAGGCACTAGAAAACACTTAAGAGTTGTTTGACATATAAGAGCAAATTAATAGATAAAGACAAAATGGCAAAGATAAACTTAATATGCACAATAAAACAGAATAGATTTTAAATTTCATAATTATTTTATTATAAATTTTTTTGAAGTAATCATTAGTACTACATCATAAAAATAAAATCAATATTAAATTTTTTAATTTTGTGTTAAAATTATATTTGTAAAAATATACGATGGTATATAAAAATTTTTAAAATGCTTGCGTATATTTTTAATATTTTGATAGTTATCGATACAATACAAGCAAAGAAAAATAAAACATTCACTGTGTCTGCCCAATACTGGCAGTACACCGCGTTCACTTAGGGTACTCTATGCCTCTGAAAAAGAAAAGCAGACAGTCTTAGTAGTAGCTTGTGTGCATTTCTTTAGAACCCTTTATATAAATTTTATTATTGAAAAAATATATTTATTTAAATGTTCATACACGTAAGTCTTATATATTTTATTAATGATAAAAAAATACAAACCTGTTTAAAACTTGTAATATCATAAAGTATAAAAATAAAGTTAAAATAAAGTTTAATTTGTGTATTATCAGGGCTTTGCTATAAAAAAAATTTTCAATAAATCACACATTGCTACATAGCTGTCCACTGGTCTTATTAATAACGCATCACTGGCTAATCCAATAAGTGTTGCCAATTCCCATAGTCACCCGATTCTTGAATGTGTAAATAATCTAAATACTCTAAATTAAAAAATAACACATACCTAAGCCTCTAGCAGCTACATCTGTTGCAACTAAAATAGGAGCTCTTCCACTTTTAAATTCTTGTAACACATGATCTCTTTCTTGTTGATTTTTATCACCATGAATACTCAATGCTTGCCATCCATCTCGCCTGATATTTCTCGTAATATCATCTACTTTTCGTTTTGTTTCAACAAAAATGATCGTTTTATTTTCTTTTTCATTTCCAATTTCTTGAAGTAGTCTATATAATTTTATATCTTTTTCAAATTCTTGGCAAACGTCCACAATTTGAATAATGTTATGATTAGCTGATAAAGTCAGGGAACCAATATTAAGATGCATATAATCAGTCAAAAAGTCTTCAGCTAATGCTCTAACTTCTTTAGGCCAAGTAGCTGACCACATCAAGACCTGTCTATCAGGTCGAATTTGTTCAATTATTTTTCTTATTTGAGGTTCAAAACCCATATCCAACATTCTATCAGCTTCATCTAATACTAAATACGTGCATCTAAAATTCATTATCACATATGTTATCCAATATCATAGATATATATATATTTTATTTAAAAATCATCAGTTATACCTGCGTAAATTTGTAGTCCCTCTTTCCAAGAAATCAATAAGTCTACCTGGTGTAGCAATACATATTTCAACACCTCTTTCTAAATCATGTGCCTGTGGACCTTTTGGTGCACCACCAAAAATACAAGTATTTCTTACACTTGCAGCTTCTCCAAAACAATTAGCTACTTCCTGAATTTGTTGAGCTAATTCTCTTGTAGGAGCTAAGATTAAAGCAATTGGACCATCTCCATTAACAAGACGTGGTTGATGTATAATATGTACAATTGCTGGTAAAACATACTGAAATAAAAATATTTTGGAAATTATCAATTCATATAAATCCATTAAAACTTAGTTTCATATATATCATGTACATATTTTTGCTTCTAATAAAAAAAACGTCTTTACATTTCTACAAGTTAAAAATTAATGTCTAATTTCTAATTTGGCTCACTCCTAGTGTTTTTCCAGAGCCAGTTTGAGCAATGGCAACTAAATCTCTGCCACTAAGTGCAATAGGCCATCCTTGTGCTTGAATTGCTGTAGGTTGAGAGTATCCCTGTTTACGTATTTCATCCAACACATAAGGTGGAAAATTTCCCTCTTCAAAATATTGAATAGGATTAGGTATATTATCTCCTTTTATAGTTATTTCTGCGTTTTCTCTGAACTGACATACTTCTTCTTTTGATCTGACATAAAATATTGGGTTGAAATTTCTATTTTAATTAAAAAAAAAAATGACAGAAGAACAAAAACTCTTCACCTATTTCTCACTGTAGGATGTTCAATATAGAAATCTTTGTGCAAAGGTTCTAAAGATCTTACATCCCAATTGATTTTTCTAAGGGCTCCTCCAGGTTGTTTGTTTTTTATAATACCTCTGATATTACTTATAGTACCTCGACCACGTACACTAAATCTATTAATACTACTTCCACGAATATTATCACTGCCTCCTCTATTGCTACCTCTGCTACCACCACCACCTCTGCGGCCTCTATTGTGATCTCTGTCTCGATTAAACCTAAATACACAGAATACATTATATAATATAATCTATTTTAATTTGTATTCAGTACTTTATCATTATAGAATATAGAATATTTATAGAATTTATCATTAATTACTGTATTATTTTAATTTTATACAAATTTAATGTTTATTATAATATGATCTTAAATCTTTTAATAACTTGTTTATTTATTTAAAGATTATATATTCTGTAATATATATTTTTTTTTTAATGTAAAAATGAAATACTTTTTCAATAAAGTTACTTATAAGAGTAATAAAAGAAAAAGAGTTATTTTATTATTTTAATGTACTTTACAGGACTATTTATTATAAACGTATGATAATATAAACGCATATATAGAAATATACAATATATTAAAATATACAATTATTTTTTATTCATAAATTTTGATTATTGATTATCATTGTCCGCAATACATTTCGGCGCTACGTACATACTTGGCAACTACGATAAAATTAATAATTAAATGTCCATATCCTAAATTACACGTATGAAAATTTCGATACAAGTATCTATTACGTAACTTTAAATTTGGTTGTCAAATCGTACTTACATTTGGAAATTGAGATATCTTTAAATACAACGAGCAACAGATTATTCTGCTTTGCGGTCACTTTCGCGAACGCCAATCGATAATTTAGTAGACGTGAATATTGGGAACAGTTAATAATACTATTTAAAAAGTTGTATCAAGCTTAATACAACTTATGAAATTCTCTTGACGACAAAAATGCAATTAATATACTGTGAATAAAATATAATCGTTATCTTTAAACTTGCCGGTAAATCCGGCAGATCAAATTGACAAGTGAACTTCCGAAAGTAGTTCCGTATAAACTGTTTCCATGACAGCATTCGCGTAGTAATACATAGAAAATGAACAAAAAAATATAATAGAAAATGTAAAAAGTATGATAGAATGGAATAATTATACAATTAGAAAAAATGTCAAGTACAAAATGAATGAAAATATAAATCTTTTTATAAAGATTTAAGAAACTTACGTGTCTAATTATTAATAGATAAATATAATTCATAGTATACTATATAAATAAGGAACTAATTTTGTTATTGTAAATTTTTATTACGTTCTTATGGATTAAAATAAAAACGGATTAGACTTTAAGTAAAATAACCAGAAATTAATAAGTAAGAATAAGTAGAATTATCGGAATTGAATATACCGCGTCTCTGATAAAGATGACGCTAAAGTTCTTAACGACCTACGATATAATTGTAAACATAGTTTAATGATATTTTATATTTCTTAAAATTTAAAATGACATCTGAAACAACACATGTAATTTAATACGATTAGATACATACCATTAAGAAATTATAGATAAAAATGAAAATATTATTAAATTCATATTATAACTTGTATTATTAACACTCAACCTATCATAACCTGCTATTTATTTGTATTCTTGATTTCTATTTTATTTTTCAAACGTTATATGGAATTTAGAAATACATTCTTAAATGTATCAATAAAAATATTTACTTACATTAAATACTATATTAATGAAATATTTATTTTAGGTCTCAGATACACTTAGGATACTTCATTTACCACCAGAACTTTCTGATGAACGACGTAATGAATTATTTAGAAAATATGGTGCTATTAAAACACGAACATTAAGGCTTTCTAAAAAATACACCATGACTTTTGCAAAATTCCAATCCCAAGAAATAGCCTTACAAGCATTGTTACGTTTACACCAATTAAATGTTAGAGGACAATATTTAACAGTTGAATTTGCCAAAAAGCCCGTATCAATAGAAAAAACAGAAAATGTTGATAATGACAAACTTATAAAGGAAGAAAATAAGAAAGAATCCACAAACAGATCCAATTTTCAAGCGTTTCTACAAAAATTAAACAGTTGGTCTATGAATCAGGTTTTTACTCAACCACCTCCACCAAATATACAATATGAATATTCGCCACCAACAAGAGGCACTTTAATAAGAATAGCCATACAATTATTAAAAGAACCAGCTTTTTACACTCAGGTAAATAGAAGTAAATAAGTCATATTTTAATTCTCTTTACTTAAATGTCTTATGCTTATATAGGTTTTACACTTGATGAATAGAATGAATTTACCCCCTCCTTTTGAAGAGTTGGAAGCAGAATTTCCAGCACTTAAGGAAGTTTATGATGTAGAAAAATATAATGATATTTTTATTAGAGACAGTTTATATGTCAAAGAAGGCATAGGTAATTAGATTATATTTTTTCCTTTACTTTGTGTTTTTAAATTTTGTATATATTTGATATATAACTGTTGATAGATATTTGCAATGAAGAAACAGAAGAAGAGGAATCAGAAATAGAGTCAAATGAGGAAGATAATGCAAAATCTGTGGAGATTATACCTGTAAAAAGAAAACGTCTACAACATACAAAACGTTTAAAAATTCCCAAGTTTATTAATCCAAATAAACATGTAACACCTTTAAACCCTACACAAAAAGTTGTAAAACCAGCAGATATGTTTGAGCCAGTACAACGCGGTGAAATAAAAAATCTTAAAATTGAGCTGAAAATGGTGGATAAACTTTTAGATGCTTCGAATAAAGAGGAAAATACTGATTCTGTAAATGCTACAGATGGTGGTTTTGGGATAATGTTTCCACTTTCCAAGAGCCTTGATACTGCTGAAAACAATGAAAATACTGAAACTGTTGAGCAAAAAGTTATTACATCTAGTGAATTAGCAAATAACAGAATTTCAGCTAATGGTAAAAATTATTATATCTTCAATAAAACATTATTCTATCAAAGGACATGTTAAATCTTTTGTGCATTACATTATAGATCAAAGATTGCTTCCTGTTTTTAAAAATTATCACCCTGGAAAACCATCAAATCGTTTGTACATAAAAAATCTTGCAAAACAAGTTGAAGAGAACAATCTCCATTTTATCTATCGAAAATATCTAATACCTGAATTGAAAACAGAATTTGAGTAAGTATCCTCAATTAAGAAGCAACCTAACTGTTCTGGGATTTTTAATAACAATTTATTTTATTTTAGGTACGATGTGAGACTAATGCAAGAGGGCAGAATGAAGGGTCAAGCATTTATCACATTGCAAAATACGGAGCAAGCACAGTTAGCCCTTGATGAGACAAATGGTTTCATTTTAAAAGATAAACCAATGGTTGTACAATTCGCTAAAGTGTCAAAAAGTTAACAAAAGCATTCTTCATTTGATGTTACGTGTTGTATTATTTATAATTAATGCTGCTTATTACTTACTACTACTATAATTAATGCTAATTACAATAAACAAAGTTTTTTATACTTTCTAATAATTTTATGTTATGATGTATTACGATATCTTGTTAGAAACAAGATAGAGTTTGCTGTAGTTCATTTACATTTATGAAAACTTTAATCACATGTAACGTGGATCTTACGATCGATGCGGTGAAGTGCTTAAATTCAATACTCTCTGTACAGAAAAATAAAAAATCTGTATAATAAATCATTTTTTTATCACTGATAAATTGTAATCGTAAATTTTATAATATTTGAATGCATCGATGTTCTTAAATATTGTTACATTGATTTATACAGAAACTTTCGTGAATATACAAAATAAGACATCGCTTGAGTTACTTAGTGGCGTGTCACAGCCGCGTCAGCGGAGATCGGCGCCCGCCTGGCATTTAGTAATTCAAAGACTTTCCACTAGAGTGCTATGTTTTGAGTTGTTCGATCTGTATCGTGTGCGTTGAGCGTTCGATTCACCGATCACCGTCGAGTTGTAACCGCGTATGTGCTGTCGCCGTCACTCTATTGCCGTCCCTCAATTTCCGTCGGTCTCGCACACGTTGACACGTCCTTTGTATTGCCATGGACGTTAGCTTGCTACTTCAGCACTCGCAATATGCATTACCCGTGGGTATTGTGCTCGTATGTGCAATCCTTGTCTTCGTCTTTGGTTTCAAGAAGGCCGAACAACCACCTTTTGCTCAGCTTTCGGTAAGCTCCGACGTGGACCGGAAATTTGCCAACAAGAAACGTAGCAAGATCAAAGAAAAGGTTAGCACAACAGAAGTTAGCGATTCAAACTGTATATCTCTTCCTTTTTTTCGAATCAACTAACAGTGTAAATGCAACAGTCTGTATCATTCACCCTCCATATGGTTGCTTATTTGTCGCGAGTATTTATACTTGAACACATGGTTGATAATCAGCTGGCATCAGTGGTTAAAAAGAGTTATTATTCACTATTGTTCTTCCCAACGCATAAAATGCAATTTAATAATACCGAGTCAATACCTTTTACCCTTTTTCGTTTATACGTACATTCTTTTCGTTTATAAAGTTTCAAAATTTTCGTAATACCAATGTAATTTTAATTGATATAATTTTGTCTTTTGTTCGTTTACGAATTATAAAAAAATAAGAAATTTGAAAAAATGTGATTATTCTAAGTTTTCATTGAAACAATTTATATGTACTACAGAGATCTGCTAATGGCCAGGTTGCAACTGAAAAAGCCAGCCCTATTAAGAAAACAGTATCAACCAAAACAGATGCTTCAAAGAAAGCTTCAATATCCAAGCCAGATGATGTTGAAGGGAAGTTGAAAGAACGAAAGCAAGAGGATAATAAAATTCTTGTAGCAAAAAAGGATAAAGATCAAATTGTAATAAAAGTTGGTAAAGAAAATAAAGTTGAACAAGTGAAAAATAAGAAAAACTTGAAGAATTTATTCCAAGAAAAACCAGTTGACTTTGATGAAGGTAAGATTTTACTCAGTATTTTTTAAGAGTTTTTAAAAATGCTATCCTAGGTAAATATTAATTTTATATTTAAAATATAGGAGATTGGGAACAAGCTTATTCACGGAAAGATAAAAAGAATAAAAGGAAAGAGGAAGAATCACCTTCAAAGAAGAACAAAAAAAATATTAAGAAAGCTGATTTAATTAACGAAGAAGTTACAAAACAAAAAGTTTCAGAGAAGGCAGAGATTAAAGATAAAGTTATTAAAGAAACAGAAAATAAAGAGTTGAAAGACAAAGAGAAAAAAGATGTGATACTTACACCTATCTCCAATGAGGAAATAGCTAAGGAAAAAGAACAGCAAAAGGAGGAATTAGCTAAGGTATTTTTAAAGTATTTTAATGTTTGTCCTTAACATTTGACATTATAATAATTAATGTGTTCCTTTTTATATTTAAGAACGAAAAGGCGGAAAAAGAAGAAAAGAAGAGTGGAAAATCAAAGAAAACTAAGAAAGTTTCTGAAAATGAAAATACTCTTGTAGTAACTCCACTTACACCAAAAGTAGATAATAAACTTCAAGAACAAACAATAAAAAAAAAAGATAACAATATAGAAAAAGATTCAGATAATTCAGAAGAAAAAAGTCCTAAAACTATACAAACGCAAGAAAAGACTGGTCCAGTGTTCGATGAACTGGGAGGTAATTTTGTTCGCTACAGAATAATTCTATATTCGTATTTTTATACATTATAATCATTTCACAAATTCATGCATCTCGAGAGTCCTTTAAAAATGTTTCTAAACATATTTTAGATGTCTGGACAGAAGCCAAACCTCAAAAGAAAAGTAAAAAGAAAGCTCGAAAAGATAACTGAGGGTAATCAAGTATGATAAAAATTACATTCCTTCTAAGAAGGAATAGAGTGAGAATCCTGCTTGGTCCAAACGACATGTGTCATTTCGGACTTACCAGGTGTGTTTTAAGTGACTTACCAATTAACCACCTGACCAAATTGTTCCTTTTCCTTGTATATAATGCCAATTGGACTAGGTTGTTCGATCAGTTATGTATTACATCATGACTGCAGGTGCATAAATTATTGTATGTAGAAAAAATTTTTGATTTTTTCAACATACTAATTATTTGCTTTAACAAAGCTGCTTTGCATTTAATGAAAGAGGCATAAGTCATAAATTATTATTATGTATATTATCCTTTTAAGGATTTTCATACGTATTTATAATGATGCATTAATATTCACTACAGCTACATCTTAGTATATATTTATAAGAGTTTCATATTGAGTATGGATTGTTAAAAAAGTAGTACTTATGTCTTTTGTGTTTCGTCGGGAAGTCCTATAAACAATATTTTTGTTAGATTTGCAACATGTTTGCATCCACGTTATTAACATTTTAGATATTGATTTAACGTATTATAATTAATTTAAACGTTATAGATGTGAACGATTGAAAGCCAAAACTTAGAAAGTATGAAGTATATTCCAAAACAATAATAAAGTGCAGGACAATCTGGAGAAAAATTTACATTACTGATGTACATGTCTTGTTCAAGGTATCGAGAGAAATATTTTCTTATATTTGATAGCGAGTAATTTATTCCAGCATATAGATCCAAAATTATATACTTTGTAATAATAAACTGTACGTATATCTCGTACGAATATTTTATCATAAAAAGTACATCAGTAATGAATTTTAAGGATTGATGTGTATTTATAAGAATATGTGAATCTATGACAAAATTTGTGCCAAGTTATGAAAAGAAATAAAACAAGGTACAACGAAAGTCATTATACAATTACATATGATTAATTTATTAATTAAAATAAATAATTTTAATTGAACTTTATTATTTGTTTGCATAATATATGATTTATATATGTTATTTTCGAATTTGAGTGTTTATGTAACATGAGCAACTATATATAGTAATTAAACATGTACACAGTATTTAATTTACATTTAAAATCGTTCTTAACGCGGATTTTTACTAGTTATGTTATCTGATATAATAAAAATAAAATTGCATTCTGACTTTCAAAGTGTCTAGCTATTACGTATGTTTAATAGAAAGGAAGATAATGTTTTCTATAATGATTATCTCTTCACATACAAAAATAATTCTATTGAAAAAAATATAAAGGAAATCTTGCGAATGAATACGATCAGACGTGGATCAAATCGGTTATTATGTTGTCTTTTAATTTTTACGAACAATCTAATCCAGCCGTTCACATTTTATGCCATGTATAAAATATAGTGAGTACATTAATTATACATTAAAAGTTGTCTCTGAATAGTCTTTTTAACTAATGTAATTACGGTTATTTAATCGTTAATATCTATATTGTGTATAATAATATCACGTATGACATGGAGATGCAAGAGTTAAAATCTAAGAAAACTAATTTCTTGAAAGAAGAATTAAATATTAAGGATCTCTTCAAAGAAAACATAGTGCTATATTCAGAGTACTATATTTAGAGTCTTTTGACTTCTATTTTCTGAAAAAATGAAAAGACAAAAATTCAAATCGAAAAATGATGTTAGTTGCATCTTGTCGCGAATAATTGATAGAGGAGATGCATTGTAACGTCATTTATTCGAAACAATTTATTAATTAGTGTTGTATATTAATATGTAAAGATGAAAAAAAAAAAAATATTTAGAATGTATGGCGAATGAAATATTGTGATAAGTATACTGTATACCTGAGCGTTACTTGAACGTTGTAAAAATAGTACTATCAAATAATATTATCGTTTATAGCTTTTACTTATAAGTGAGAAGAAGTGAAAAAATATCTGTTCAAATAATTATTCATATTTTGTACTTTTATCCTTAATATATTTTCACAGAATATTTATTATACTTCGCGACATATGAGGTATTAGTAGTTTTAGTATAGTCTCGCATAGTTTCAAAGATTCTTTGTTATAAAATATTGGTTGATTTGAAAAGGAAGGAAGAGAAGGTTTCTAAATACAATTTTTGAACGAGCTTCAATTCCATGCATAGTATGAATCGTCATTACTATGTGAAATCGAGAAGAAATACAGTTGTATCGAGTGTCCCTACGCGTGCCAAAAATGTTTACTTTATTAAGAGCAACAG